CGGGGACACTCCATCCCTCGGGTCCCGCTGGATCCGTGCCCCCTCCTCGCCCGGCCCTGTGCCCTCAGATCCCGCTCCCCATCGCCTCGGTGCCGTCTGGGTCACTCCATCCCTTCGGGTCCTGATAAATCCTCCTCAGGACCTGTCTGGATCTCCCCTATCCCCTCAGGCAGCAAATCCCTCCACCCTGTCCCCTCAGGGTCCTGACAAATCCTGTCGTCCTCTCAGTGTCCTCAGGGTTCCTCCATCCCCTCAGACCTCCCCTAATCCTCCCATCTCCTCCATAACTGCCTGGGTCTCCCCTCCCCGCAGATCTCACTGAATCCTCTCATCCCCTCAGCGCCTGGTTGTGTCCCCCCATCCCCTCAGATCCCACTAAATACCCCCATTCCCTCTATATCTGCCTGGGTCCCCCATCCCTTCAGATCCCAGTAAATCCTCTCATCCCTTCAGCACCTGGCAGGGTCCCCCATCCCCCCAGATCCCACTTAATCCCTAGTCCCACTAGGGCCCCCAAGACCACATCTCTCCTTGGAAGGGGAAGAGCCCAGGGAGTTTTATCAGGGCTGCATCGTGACCCTTGTCCAGGCACTATGTTTTATGTCCACCTGCTCATCAACAAGAGGGGACCTCTGGCCAAAATATGGCTTGCTGCCCACTGGGAGAAGAAGCTCACCAAGGCTCAAATCTTCGAGTGCAATTTAGAGACCACTGTAGAAAAGATCATCTACCCCAAGGTAGGCTGAGGCATGAGGAGTTGTCTCCTGGGGTGAAGGTGTTGGCCTTTATAGGGAACTCTGTTACCACTGTGTAATATTTCCATTTTGATGTTTTTTGCCAATCATACTAACTGCTGAACAACCCTTTCTTTTCAAATCCTCACAGTTTGCTATAGCTCTACGAACCTCTGGGCACTTACTCCTGGGAGTGGTGAGGATTTACCACAGGAAAGCAAAGTACCTCTTGGCAGACTGCAGTGAAGCTCTGACCAAAATGAAAACAGCCTTTCGTCCAGGTGTGTGCAATGTGCAGCAGTTTTCCTTTGCAGCTCTCATTTTAAAAGTTAATTTTGGGCTGTTTCTGTTAAAGACACATTATTGATCCCAAAGGAAACGGAACATCCTGGTGCCTAGTGTTTCAGTCTGGCTTAATTTAATGCTGTTTCAGGTCTTTGACTCCCTTAACAGGAGCAGTGTCTTAAGTAGGATCACAAGAAGATGCTTGAATTCAGCCTCCATTGCCAGATAATTAATTTTAATTTCTGATGACACCAACAACATGTCTAACAGTGTCAGTGCCAGACCTGACAGCATGTTTTGAGCTCTAGCCATGTAGCCAGGGAGAAGGGAGCTGAGATGAGTGGATCCTTTTCCAACAGGCTCTGTGTTTGTTGTACTCAGGCGACAAATGGGAGGCACTGTTGTCTGAAAAAAAGATGAGAACTGGACACCAGTGTCTATTGCCAGTTCTAATGTGCTTTGTGACCTGTTCTGTTTGCAGAATAGTGAATAATTACTTGTTATTATTCTCAAGGATATAATCGTGGAATCACAGAACTGTTTAGGTTGGAAAAGCCTTCCAAGATTGAGTCCAACCATTCCTCAAGGCCACAACTAAACATGTCCCCAAGTGCCACATCTACACATCTTAAATCCTTCCAGGGATGGTGACTCCACCACTGCCCTGAGCAGTCTGTGTCAGGGCTGGATAACCCTTTCCTTGGAGAAATTTTCCCTAATATCCAACCAAATCCCCCTCTGGTGCAACTTGAGGCCTTTTCCTGTCTATTTTGGATAGCTACTATAGCAGCTTGGAGAGCACCACACAGCACAAGAACAAGACACAATGGTCACAACAGAGAATCCAACTAGGGGAGAAAATCTTAGTGGAAGTGATAAAATGCTGGAAGAGGCTGTCCAGGGATGCTTTGGGATCCTCATCAGCAGAAACAGTCAAAAGTGATCTGACTTGGAAATTAACTCTGTTCTGAGCAAGAGGTTGGGTTGGGTGACCTTCAGCAATCCCCTCTCATCCGAATTGTTCCAGGATTCTTTCATTCCCCAGTACTTGCAGTCTCAGTGCATCGTTATGCTGGAGAACAGCATTGTGGACACATGGGAGAGAAAGGGAAACCACAGTGATTCATTTGCTGTGCTACAAAAAACTCTGGGCTAAGTGTCAGCTGGGAGAACCTTCCAGGGACTTAAAGCAGCTGTTCAGAAACACAAGTACTTACAGTAGTTCAGGTCCTATTTCAGCATTCTTCTGTGTCTGTCTGTAAAAAATAGAGCTTCTAAAGGAGATGGAAACTAAAATTCCACTCTGGAGTGCCTAAGCTTTACCTTTCTGTGATTTAGAGCAGCACCAGCCCTTCCTGACAGGTTTATAGGCTTATTATACCTACTTGGGAGATCACGACTTTTATTTTATTGATACTTATTTCGTTATGTTGTCTGTTTCTTTCAGGGCTTCTTGACCTTCCAGTAGAGAACACTGAGGCTGATTATCAGTCCATTACATTACCTGAAGAATTCCATGATTTTGAAACACCTCTGCCAGATGTAAAGTAAATGCTTCCCTGGTTTTTATTCATTCTTTCAGTGTTTTCAAAAGCAAAAGCTCTTCTTGCTGTTATCTGATCAAGACTCAGATGGGGTTGTTTTGATTTTGCAACGGAATTCTCCTGCGTTCTGGGCTTTGCCAGGCTACAGGCACAGTCCTTGTGCTCCTCACAGTCCTTTAATCAGCAGAGCTTTACAATGCAAGAATGTCTTGAAGTGAGGCCTCAGGATTTTAAATTGTCTGAGTGAAGGATGCAAACAGCTTTCTGACCTCAGGAGAAGAGATAAAAGTTAGTATAAATCCTGGGAGCTCTGGCTAGTAACCCCACATTGTTGTCCTGTTCCACTGTGTAACTTCATTTCCTTTCTGCTCCACTGCTCTCCGGGGCTGGGGTGTTTTATCAGCAGGAGTCAGCCTGGCTCCTGAGGAAAATCCAGCCTATTTCTTTGGCTTTTCTGACACAAATCAACATTAGTGTAGAAAACTGATAAAAAACAGGAGGCCAAGTCGTGGTTTTGATGGCTCTGATGCCCCGAAGGTCCTGGATAACAGATTTCCACTGAGGCTTCCTTTGTATCTCCTCATAAATAAGGTTTGATGGGATCTGTAAGGGTTTACTATTTTGTAAGTACAGCTGCAATGTGACACCATTTATTTGAGTGCCTCAGTGTGCTAACTGTGAAGGTGCTTTTTCTTCCTGCCCAAAGTGTTGTGTCACTTGGTTTGGAAGATGTTTCACTAATTAGTTGCCTTCTGATGAGTGCCTGGTAGATAGCAGGGCTTGGATGAGAACAAACTCACATAGGCCCAAAAGAGTGGAGAAATATGGGGGTTTGTGATAAAACACCAGGACTGGAGGCTGTTTAGAACCAAGTTTGCACATTCCAGCTGAATGCTCCACGGGTTTCAGTTCACCCTATGTTTCTATAATGTTTTTTCATCAGTGCCATTGATGTTGCAGAGCATTTTACCTTGAATCAGAGCAGAGCTGAAGACATCACACTTACAGAGGATTACGAAAGCAATATACTTCTCTGTGATAGCAACTTTGGTGAGAGAAGCTGAGAAATTAGAAATATTCAGTAAGGGAAAGTGTGTTTTACGCAAAAATTTGTAGTCTGAGCCCTTTCCATGTGTGAAAAAGCTGTGGTTAATAATGCATTTGTTTCATACTTGTGCTGATTGACCTGTCACACTGTCTTACACCCAAAACTTTGTGTAAGCAACATAAACTGATGTCAGAGTCTGAGAATCAAACCCAACCCTCTCTGCTTTTGCTGAATTAGCTACAACTGCTTATTATTTATTCCGTGTGAAGAATGGGATGTCTCACAACCTTTGAAAAATGATTTGGAAAATTAGGAAATGGCTAAATCTGGGTTTCCAAAACTCGTGCAGGCAAGACATCAGCAACTGTATGTTTCCTCAGATGAAGAAGCAGAAGCACTGAGAAGACAGAGCTTCTTTGAGGGCACCTTCCTGACGAGCAGTAACAGCCTGGTGGCCGAGCACAACTCCCTCAGCACCAGTGGAGACAAGTCTGTGCTGCAGGAAGATACGTACTTCTTCAAGCATGACTCTTTTGGAGATGAGGAGAATGCTGCAGATATGATTGGTAGGGCTTGCCACAGGCAAACAGAATCAGTTTCTTTCCAAATATTTCTGTCCTTCCAGGAAAGCACCAAAGTGATTGTTTTCGAGCATAAATTCTATGTTATTTGTTGTTTTCGTCTTCATTTTTTTCTACTTTGTCACTAGATCTGTAATCACTTAGGCATTGCCAAGTCAAATTGCTTTAAGGGCTACATTTCATTATTTTAGAACCAAAGGCATGAAATTTATGCTTAATGTTTAACAATTTAATTTCTATTTCCAAAGGTGAAATAGTGCAGCACTTTTATCCTCGCTGTTGTGATAACAAAAGCAGCAAAGTAGCTTCTAGATCATTATGGCTTAGAATATCTATGTAAACCGTGTAGATTTATTCCTTTTAAATGGTATCAAGGCAATACTTTTCAAAGCAGAGGTGGAAATCTCAAACTCAGCACTAACCCCCTCCTCTCTGAGCTGCTGCAGACAGCCAGACCCCGACAGCCTCTGCGGAGGCTGAGCTTGCTCTCTTTGCAGAGCATTAACCTTGGGTAACATCAGGCTATTTCATGACTACCAAGGCTTTAGAATGATTAAAGCTATGTGTTTTGTGTTTAAGAAATCCTGTTGAGGGATGAGCAAAATGGCCTAGATAAAGACATTCTTGCTATGGAGGAAGCACATCCTTTGTCACCAGATCTGCCGGAGCACAGCACAGCCAGTGAGTCTGCAGTGTCTGCTCTGTCTCACACAAACCCTCTGTTCCTGTGCTAATGCCTAAAGTCACTCACACTCAGCTTTGTGCAGCATCCTCTGCCGTTTTCCTTTCTTCATTTATTTTGTGGTTTTTTTTTTCTCTCTAAAGTGTTTCATCCACCATTTTAGGATCATTTCCTTTGATTTAGGGATTCCAAATTTGTAACTTGGCATTGCTTGGAGACACTTGTGTGTGACATCCTGTTGGATACGCTGTTGGTCCACCCTGCTGCTCACAGTGTGATGTCCCTTTGGAGGGGGAAGGAAACCCAATAAGGGTTTGCTGTAACTGTGAACTTTCCCTATGAGATCTTAAAGGTCTTTTCCAACCTAGGCAACTCTTTGGTTCTATTTCTGGTTTCATATTTCTGTGACAAATGACACTTTGGTAGTTCATAAAGGTGTTGTTAGTCTTTTGGTTTGATGCTGATGAAAGAAATTCATTTTTGAGAAGTGTTTCTGGGAGATTTTTGATATCTTAAATCCTTATTCCCTCATTACAGTGTTCCTTTAAAACTGAGAATTCTGGAACAGCTTTAAAGGGATAGACAAGCTCTTGCCTCTCCTTGCACTAGTGCTGGTGCTACCTGTTCCTTTTCTGTTGGCAGAAATATGGAATCACAGAATCAACCAGGTTGGAAAAGACCTCCAAGATCATCAAGTCCAACCCTACCGTGGTTACTAGACCATGGCACTAAGTGCCACATCCAGTCTCATCTTGAAAACTTCCAGAGACAGTGAATCCACCACCTCCCTGGGCAGCCCATTCCAATGCCTGATCACTCTCTCCATAAGAAATCTCTTCCTAATATTTAACCTAAACCTCCCCTGGCAGAGCTTGAGTCTGTGCCCTCTTGTCCTCTGCTGGTTGCCTGGGAGAAGAGACCAACCCCCATATCCACACTGCCATGCACTTGCCTGGAACTGGGAACAGCTATGGATTGAAACTGAACACCTTTCCCCCTAAGCACTTTTTGCTGTGTGAGTTTTCCTCCAGATCAGTTCCTTTGCCTGTTCCACTGCCCCACAGCAAAGAGGAGTGTGCAGGGCAGAGGATGAGCAGCAGCACTGCCAGTGATTACTGGTGAACATGACTGTGGGATTATAAACAAAACCACAGTTTTGTAGTTCTGACCATTTTTGGCTGATACCATTCAGCGTCATAGGACTGAGATATGAGTCCATCTTGTAAACTCTTTTTAATGTGGACTGTTTTCTGGGATTTTTTGCAGTTGAGTCTGACCATGAAGACACCATGGTTACAGATGTAAATCACCTGATGAGTGAGACAACCCTTTTGTCCAAAGAAAAAGAAGGATTTGTGCTTGAGCCAGTTGATGATACAGGTCAGAACTTGATCAGTTTCTCACTGAATATTTGTGTTAACTAGGTTTGTTTTTCTTCTTAGGAATGAAAATATTTGCAAAATATTACCACTTTAGATTTCATCTGCTCCTGTTGTCAGAATTCTATCTTATGGTAACTGTTACACAAAACCAGTGTCAGGTTATTCTTCTGATCTGCCCAAATCTCTGCTTGCAATTTCTTCCACATGCCAAATCAAGGTCTGTTGCTCTCCAGCTCTGCCAGCACTACAAACTGCTCAGGGGTGGGACTGAAGTTTCACCTGAAGAACTTTTATTGCCAGTGACACATCAGTGATTTTTATATTTAAAATAACAATCTTAAAACTTTCAAGCCTTTGGAAAATGTTGTTTTGTGGACTTTTAACTTCAATAAAATACAAAAAGAAAAGTATTAAATTTCCTCTGTGAGTAAATCTAAGTATCACTTATCATTTTGGTGGTCGTTAGCAAATAGACCAGCTCATCCTGACAGGAATATTTGGAATATTGGGATTTTCCAGCCTGCCAAAATAATATTCAGGGAGACATGGCTATATAACCAATCTGTCTTTCTTTTGTGTTTACCACATACATCTTGAGGATACACCTTAAAGGATTAAACTGACAAATACAGATATTAATTATGAGGTAAAGAAACCTGTTGAGTGCATCAGCATTCTTGGAACACTTCACTTCCTGATGGATTAGAGATAGCTTATTTGGTCTTGTTGCTATCTCATGTGTTCTCATTAAGTCCTCCTGTTCCTGGTTCTTTAGTACAATAGTCATATGTTTTCTGTAATTAACCGTATGGGAATTTCCTGTACAAGGGTACAAAGAGTGAAAACTTTCTGAAAACTCTTGAAGAAATGACCAATGCACTTGGACTCTGATTTTTCAGGTCTGTGTGGTGCTTGGGAGCTCAGCAGCCACTTTGATTCACGTGTGCTTAACATCCTGGGAATAGACTTTTAAGACTTTTTTTTAATCCTTGTGTTATGTAGCTGTCACCCAGAGGAAAAAAACCAAAAGAAAGAGGAAGCTGCTGGTGGATGTAGAGAAGGAGCTCAGCTGCACTGCTATTTACAAGCAGCTTACTAACTGCACAGACATCCTGGCCACGCTGGACCTTGCTCCCCCAACCAAGAAAACAATGATGTGGAAGGAACTGGGAGGTGTGGATAGACTCCTGTCCAACACCACACAGCCTGTGGCTCATCCTGAGCTGCAGAAGGTAAAGATCAATTCCCTTGTGGGGTTTATGCCACTGTGTAGATTCCAGGAGGGATGGAGAGCTGGGACCTCACTGACAGAGGTTTTGCAGACTCGGTTTGATCCGAACTCGGAGCAGGCTGCAGGTGTGCCCTGGCCCTGGAAGCAGTACAGGGCAGATGGACACCTGATGGTTACTTGCACACTCACCACTAATTGCTTCATCATCTGTAGAGCTTAGGGCCTTCACCTCCTGCACTCCAGCAACAAGGAGAAAACCGCAAAGGGACACAAGAGCTGATGTTCCGTTTCACACACTGGCACCTGACTGATCCTACACTAAGACACAACTTGTTACATTTCTGTATATTTCTTGGCTCCTTTCTACTTTGGCTTATTATTTTCTGGTTTGTTGCATCTCTGTAGTCTCTTTTAAAGGCACATCAGACTTAAGAATCGTCACTAGAATATTGCTGAAGGGTTTGGAGGGTTCACTGCAGCAGTGCAGCTTCACCACTTAGAGTTCAGCTGCAGAATTACAACTCACTCTTTACAAGGATGAAAAATGCAGATCTTTCTTTCTTTCATCCTTCCTTCCTGGCTGCCTTAAAGGACAAATGATCCAAGCTGCTCATAAGACTTTTTTTTTCATGGAGTTCATGGACAATACTGAAGCTGCAGAAGGCTATTACTTAAAAAAAAACCATAAAATTGCAGATTTTCAGTGTGACCTAATTAAAATATCGAAATTCTGTGTTGCAGTAATTATTCTACAGCTCATATATTGCTGCAGGAGGTGTGTTGATGTTTGATGTAATCTGACATGATATTCTGAACACAAACAGAGAAAAAAATCATTACTTTCAGTTGTTTGAGAAATGCTTCAAGAGTCATGGAACTAATATGGGAGGAAATAGGATACATAGAGTGCCTGAAATAGAAGAAATGAGAAAAGAGCAACATACCACAGGTAACATTTTAATTCTGTTGTGCACAGTTAGCTGTTGGAAAGTATTTTCTAGTCTACCTAATGTTTGAGAGACGTGTGCATGGTGCTTGTGGGCAGTGTTCTACAACTGATCCCTTGAAGGCTAAAGGAACTGGCTGTAAATTATAACAAAAATAAAATTTGGTTTGATTTAGCAAGTACTTTGCTGCTCTTTTGTTTCTTAGAAATGAAATGAAATGCAAGTCTCTTTCTTCCCTGTGGCACAAGGAGATGTTTTTGGTTTCACCTTTGGTGTCTCTGGTTGTCTGCCTGACTTCAGACTGGGATGGTGTTGTCTGATGTTGTTGTGAGCTTAGTCAAACAGCTCCCCAAACTTCCAAACTCATGTAAATAATTCTGCTTGTATCTGGAAGATCTGGTTTGGGTAATATCAGGCAAGAAGAAATGTTCCACTTCAGATCTGAGGAGGATATCTCTGCTCTGCTAGAAACCCAACCTGTGTGTCTGCCTCAGAAGTTAAGTAACAAACTCACCCACTGTGAGTCCATAAAGGTCAACTCTTAGAAAGAAAAAAAACTCCCTTGGAAGGTTCTTCTTCCATGTTGGGAATTATCTTTCTTCAATGTTTGCTCATTCTCCCTCAAAGACTGGGAACTAGGGTGTGATTTTTTGGGTTTCAGTGTTTTTTTAAGACAGTGATTCACAGTAATTGCCTCTTAAACTTTGTTTTTCTGTTAACACAGAGATGCTGCCAGTGGAAGAGCCAAGTTACCTGCAGGAGACAACTCACTCCGAGACTGAGAGAAACATTAGAAATGATTCCTTTATTCCACCATGGAATAACAGAAATGAAACCACTGAGAACTGTGGTGCAACTATAGTGAGCAGTTCCCCTCAGTTTTAGAGACCTAACTGTGTTTGTTGGTTTCATTTGATGCTGCAGCTCCACTCAAAACACCTTAAGAAGTTACTGATGTTAGACAAGGATGCTAAATGCAGCCAATAGAGCATTTAGCAGCTTGTGTTGTCAAAGTTTATTTATGATTACTTTGGTAAACTCTCACAGTGAAGGAATGATTAATTAAAATGTCTATTAGTCAGTATAGATTAGTCTAATCACTAAGTACCAATGAAAGCTTAATATTAAACATGAAATATTGTATTGAAGAGATAAATAATATCTTTATAAGGACAAACCTTACATTTTATGTCTCATATTGAGGAAACACTTAAGCAGTAACAAATTATCTATCTCTGACATCCTCACTTAGGCATTCTGTGGGGAATATGAGGCTTATTAAAGTTGAAAAGTGAAAAATTGGACCTAATGGCAGTGGAAAATGTGTGGTCCATGCCTGAACTGTGCTATAGGTGTAGATCCAGCTGTAGGATAAATCCTACAGCAAGATCCTTCCCTGTGTCTGTAAAGACATAGTAGAAACAGCAACTATTAACTCACTTTGTAAAGCTTTAGTGTAACAAATTCTTTGAGCAGAACTGTGTATGCAGGAATGGTCAGGAGTATTGATTGTCCTTTCTGTGCTCACAGCAGGATGGAGCAGCTTTCTCTGAGAGCTCCAAAAATTCCCTAGGCCAGGAAGCTGAAACGGAGAAGGTGGAGATGCCAAAGGTGTGTGTCCTCAGAGCCATTGGCTCTGCCTTGTTTCAGGAGAGAGCCCTGTGCTTTCTCAGAAGTACCTTAAGGAAAAGAAGTGATGGGATCATGAACCTACAGTGACTTTTGCTTCCTGTAAGAAGGAAATGGTTTCCAAACTTACCAGTTCTGGAGATGCTCAGGCACTGTGAAACCAGGGCAGTCTGCTGCCAGCTTCACAGGCTGAGCCCCAGATCCCACGCCACATTTTTGAACATCCTTTTTAGCCTCTGACCAGTACAAATACTGTTGAGAATCCCAGTCCCACAGAGCAGTGCCTTGCTGTGGAGCTGCCTCACTGGGAATGCTTCCATAGTACCTGGCCTGGTGCACCTGAGCTGTTTTTGCAGCAGAGAGCACACAGGTACTATTCCTTTCTCTGCTTCTCAAAGCCTTGTGCGAGCACAGAGCTGTCAGAGGCACCAGATTCCCTGAGTTTGGCTATCCAAATGCCCAGTCCCAGCTGTATTTTCAGTCAGGCTGCAACTCCTGTGCTTTTTATCATGGTGTGTGACTTTCCACACATGCTGACTAAACTTCTGTTTCCTTCCTCTCAAGGAGCAAACAAGGACCAGGAAAGACAGTGAAGAAATAAGATGGGGCAAAAGAACTCTTCAGTTACTAAAAACTTTACAGGTACCAGTGCTGGATTTGGTTATTAGACACCAAAACCAGGTGTTGATTTTAGATGCACCATGTCAGAAAAGCTTCTACTTCTACTGTCCATCATGCCTCTGCCTCTCACCTACACTGTGCTTTTTGGGGTGTTTATGTGGAAAACCAGGATTCTGTGTGCCTGATGTGGTGTCCCCTCTTACAGCTGCTGGAATCACTGGAATTCTCTGACCTCAGGGGTCAGTGCTGGGCCCAGTTCTCCCTCATATCTCTGATGACAATTTGGATGAGGGGATTGAGTGAAGGGTGAAGGGACTTGAGCACAAGTGCCATGAGGAGAGGCTGAGGGAGCTGAGGGTGTTCAGCCTGGAGAAGAGGAGGCTCAGGGGAGACCTTATCACCCTCTAGAAGTCCCTGAAAGGAGGTTGGAGTCAGGTGGGGGTTGGTCTCTTCTCCCAGGCAACCAGCAGAGGACAAGAGGGCACAGACTCAAGCTCGGCCAGGGGAGGGTTAGGTTGGATATTAGGAAGAGATTTTTTACAGAGAGAGTGATCAGACACTAGAATGGGCTGCCCGTGGAGGTGGTGGATTCACTGTCTCTGGAAGTTTTCAAGATGAGACTGGATGTGGCAGTTAGTGCCATGGTCTAGTAACCATGGTAGGGTTGGACTTGATGACCTTGGAGGTCTTTTCCAGCCTGGTTGATTCTATGATTCTATGATTATTTGATATGAACATATTTCAAAGGGTCTGTGCAAACAGTAAATAAATATTTGTGCCTGAGTGTAACCATTAAAAACCGAGAGATGATAACGCTCAGTTCTTGCCTGTGGTGCCACTGGGACTCTGTAACCACAGAACAGGCTGTGCAATGATATTATTGTTTGCAATCACAAACCATGAGGGAATTGTTCTGCTGCTGTCATGGAATTCTGTGGGATTGTAGATTTGAGTAACTAACATAGGTACCAGCAATATTATGGCAATAACATGTTAAGAGCTACCCCTATAAACACAGATGATGAGATACCCCAAGAGGCTGTGGACTCCCCATCCCTGGAAGTTTTCAAGATGAGGTTGGATGGGGTTTGGAGCAACATGGTCTAATGGAAATTGTCCCTGCCCCAGAGGGAAAGAATGAGATGATATATAAGGTCCTTTCCAACCCAAACCAGTCTGTGATTCCATAATTCCATGAAGATTGAGTCCTATTGCAGTTGTTCAAGCACAAATATTCCCTCTGAGCCACACTCTCCATTTGGACTCAATGGGATCCAGTTTTACTGGTAGGAAAGCTAACCTGACTGAATTCTTGTCTCCCTCATGCAGCACCTGAGGAGATCAGGCATGTGTTCCTTCAGCTTTCAGGAGCTCTGTCAGAAAAACAACAGGAAAGAAGCTGCAGTCAAGTTCTACATCTTTCTGGTTCTGAGGAAGCAGCTGGTCCTGGAGCTGTGGCAGCACAAGCCCTTTGCTGACCTCACAGCCACCCCTGGGCCCATGTTTGATGAAATCAAATAAGCTAATCAAAATACAGCTGGTGTCACATTTTGCAGCCAACAGTTTTCCTGGAAAAAGGATTGGATGTGTTTCAAACCATAGGAGCTGAGTGTAGCTCCCTGTCCATGACACCACCACACAACTTGTGTGGGTTGTGCTACCCCAGTTGTGCACAACTGGGTTTGTTTATACCTGTGGTTAGGTGATGAGTTATGTGATGGTTATGTGATATGTTCATAAAAGTCCTTCAAAACCTTTCTCAGACACCACCATTGGAGCTTAAATTATCTTCATCAAGGTTTGTGTGTGCTAATTCTCTAACCCATCAGTAACAGTTGTCTGTTAACACTCTTTAGCTGGGAATTTGGTATTTTAAGACCTAGCAAGGAACAGTCCAGTGTTGCTTTCATGTGTTCAGGCAGACAGAGGTTGTGCTGTCCCTTGAGGAGTCCATAAGCACCGGGAAGGAATTCCATTCCCTAGAAAACCTGCGATTTCAAATTTCACAGAGCTTGTTTACTTACTGACACCTTTATTTACATGCAGACCTATTAAAAAAACACATGTTAACTGAAGTATTATTAGTTCATTGCATTTTTATCTAATTTAGGATGAAATTTTCCCCCTTTACTGTCATTTTCTGAAGCTCTTGGTTTCCAGCTGCTTCCAGCCTATGCTGCAGGGATGATTGTGCCCAGCACTCCAGTGCTGTGGGGACACTGCTGTCTCCTCATGTGGAATCAATAAGCACCAGAAGACGTTTCCTTTGCTTGTTGCTGTTTCTTCTGAAGGACAAATCCTGTGGGTTTTCCGGCTCAGAATCAGGGATTTAGTGACTTTACTTCAAACTGGATAGGATGGGTGATACCATCCCCTGGTTTTTGGGTGTTCACTCACCTCAATGACACCCATGTCCCCAGGCCTGCTAGTGTGTGTTGTTCCTGTCCCACAGAGTTCAGGAGGAGTGAGGATTGGGTTTGACTGTTTAAGGGAGTAAAGAGTCTTCAGAAGAGGTGAAGCCCCAGCCCAGGGCAGGGGGATGGTGTGGGGTTGACCACTGGCTGTGTTCCAGCTGGGTATTTTTATTTCCACACAGGAATATTTGATAAAGTAAGCAATAAGCCTTTGCTGCTGTTCTCTCAGGGGTTCCTTTACTGGGTGTAAGGGAGAGAAAAGTGACCCTGTTTGGTTAAACCTCTCCATTTTCTGCAAAAGAAATACTGTTTCTCTTTGTGGGTGGGAACAGAGCTGTGGCCTTGGCCAAGACGGGAACCAAGGGCTGCTCATCCTCTCCTTGTGCCAGACCTGGCAGTTCTGGAACCAAGTGCTGACCCATGTGGGAAAAGGGTTTGGTTTGGTGAAAACCTCTCCTTCTGTGCCTACAGCAGGTCCAATCCTCCCGGAGCAGTGCTCCCTCTCTGCAGGTCAGAGCATCCCGGGAAACCAAGCACTGCAGACTGCAGAGGGAAGGAGGAACCATTTTCCCCCAAAAAGCCATCGGGAATGACTCTGCATCTCACAGCAGAGCTGCTGCCTTTGCCACATGGTCAGAGCTGCTCCAGTGGCAGCAGATGCAATAACTCATTAATTTTCCTTTCAAGGAGAGAGGCTGTGCATTGGATTCACCGGGAAAGAGGGAAACAAAAGGCAGCTGGAGGCAGGCAGGAAAAAATGGGAGGCAAGATATATATATATACTGAAAACAGTCTGTGTGTCAGGATAAATGAGGTACAGATCATGCAAGAAATAGTGCTGGAAAAAAAGACTGGTGTATATTTACCAAACAGGTTTGTCAGAACTCCAGAATAACCATGTGGGAGTGACAAAGGGAGCTGGGAATGGCTGGGAAGCACAATGAGCCTTGGGTCCAGATCCAAATCAGGAGCAGGTTCTGCTCTGACCGTGCCAACACACGACCACTTCCCTCCGTGTGGATGCACACGCATAGGATGAAATGTGGCCGTGCGTAACACAGGTACATGTGCATCTCTCCTGCTCCCAAACCCCTCGGGGGTGTTCCCAGCCGCGGGCAGGAGCCGGTGCCCTGCTGCTCCCCACACAGGCTGCGGACGAGGCGCGGGGGCTCCCGAGACGTTTCTACATCAAATAATTTGGGAAGGATCCTCTCGACAGTTAGAGCAGGAAGCGTGTGGGCAGTGCCATGAGTAACCGAGATGTGCTGGAGGACAGGACGTGCCGTGCCAGCCTTCAGCCTCGCATCCCAAACGCCCCTGGCACCAGCCACAGCCTGGGGCAGCATCTTGGTGTGGCTGATGCTGCTTCTTCAACCCCAACCCCAGCGATTCGGGCTGATACAGAGGGATGGAAACGGGGCACCCAATTCCAGTGATTTATTGATTTTACTTTATGAAAGTGCGTCACTAATTAGGGGCAGGGATCTCCTCAGAGCTAGACTGATGAAGATCATAATTACGACGCTGGGGGGACTCCAA